ATTTCAACAAGACAGAATAATCTAGACACTCTGATCCTATGCCCACCTTTGTGACACATTACAGCTGGCACTGGATTTACCCGATATCCTTTACTGTAAATCTCTGTGTAATGTACATGAAATATATCAATAAATAAATAACAACTTGACTGAAGGGTATTCCCTGCTTGAGAAGGAAGAGATCTCCCACCAGGTGCTACTCCACAAGACAATCACCAATCTTGTGGAAGTTACTCCACATGGGCTTTTCGTTTCTGTCACTTTTTCAGAAAAGAGCCTATCTTTATAATTTGTCTGCACTGGCTACTGTGGTGCAGAGATTGTAAATAGCATTTTTGAAGTTAACATTTTCCTTACCTGAAAATGTACTTCAGATAGACACCTCTCTGCATCATCTTCCCATCCTTCATCCCCACACTTCCAGGGATTTCAAAACTTCATCAAGAATGATCCAATGATCATGTGCTAGTGCTCATGAGGATTACTGTGCATGAATATCTTATTGCTGTTCTGTTGGTGAAGGGCTACGGGGGTTACAACAATTAGTTCATTGCTAGAACAAGACACATAAACACATGTAGGGGTGGGAGTTTGTTCAAGGCCTGTGGTACAGGAAATTCCACAGCAGTTGTGCATGAAGTAATAGCTCTTACCAGTGCAGAGGGGTGTTTATCTGAAATACCTTTTCAAGTCAGGAAAATGTTAACTTTTGTATTTTTTTGTCATGTAAGTATGCTAAAGGTAATTTTATTTGATGTGTTAATCCTGCTTATAAGTTAAAAGTAACATTAACTCTTTCCAAAATACAGCTAAGAATGCAAAATGATAACATGCACAAAACATGTCCCATAACTATTATAATTTAATTGGCTTTCAAACTAAGACAAGAAGTAATTAGCTTCAATACTTAATCTGAACACCACTGTGAGAAACTCTCTACTGAAAACAATATAGTGTCATACATCATTCAAAAGATTAAAACCTTTTCTTTGTTGGTTATATAAATGATGTAAAACATCATAGAGAATTATTGGCAATTTGTGAAATATTGGGTGTGGTGGGTGGGTCTGATTTTCTAATATATGATTCCACAAACAAATAAGATTGAAAGTTATGAAAATTATACGTTGCCTTAGTAATATCTGTGTTATAATGAGTAACTTACATTAACTGTTATACTTCAGAGTGGGATGGTAAATAAATAAGAAAATGTGTGAGACCTGAAGAAGAAGCATCATGATTCTCATACAAGGGGAGATTAAAATTAGGAACTTAAACCTTATGTAATATTATGATTCTCAAACAAGGGGAGATTGAAATTAGGAACTTAAAACTTATGTAATATTATGATTCTCAAACAAGGGGAGATTAAAATTAGGAACTTAAAACTTATGTAATATTATGGTTGTTCTCAAACAAGGGGAGATTAAAAATAGGAACTTAAAACTTATGTAATATTATGGTTCTCAAACAAGGGGAGATTAAAATTAGGGACTTAAAACTTATGTAATATTATGATTCTCATACAAGGGGAGATTAAGGATTTATATAAATATCACTTATAAAATTAGGAACTTAAAACTTATGTGATATTATGATTCTCATACAAGGGGAGATTAAAATTAGGAACTTGAAACTTATGTAATATTATGATTCTCATACAAGGGAGATTAGAATTAAGAGCTTAAAACTTATGTGATTGTATGAGAATCATAATATTACATAAGTTTTAAGTTCCTAATTTTAATCTCCCTTTGTATGAGAATCATAATATTACATAAGTTTTAAGTTCCTAATTCTAATCACCCCTTGTATAAGAATCATAATATTACATAAGTTTTAAGCTCCTAATTCTAATCTCCCTTTGTATGAGAATCATAATATTACATAAGTTTTAAGTTCCTAATTCTAATCACCCCTATTATGATTCTCATACAAGGGGAGATTAGAATTAGAACCTAAAACGTATGTAATATTATGATTCTCATACAAGGGGGAGATTAAGGATTTATATAAATATTCACTTATAAAATTAAAAACTTACACTTATGTAATATTATGATTCTCATACAAGGGGAGATTAAGGATTTATATAAATATTCACTTATAAAATTAGGAACTTAAAACTTGTGTAATATTATGATTCTCATACAAGGGGAGATTAAGGATTTATATAAATATTCACTTATAAAATTAGGAACTTAAAACTTGTGTAATATTAAAATTGGGTTTACTAACAATGTTTTGAGTGCAAGTTTATTCATATATACTGGTAGTTTTAAGTAAATTTTAAATATAACTACCCATAGCGAAAGAGTTAAAATGTTTTTCCATTAATGTTCCTAATTTTTGAAATTGTTTATCATATAAGGAAGGTTAATTAACAGTTTAATTTTAAAATGTTTTGTTCTTTGAAAGTGTTTAGTTTGATATATTTTGTTACATTTGTAATTGTAAATGTTTTTATTCTTGAAATATTTTTTATCAAGTATGATTAAAGGTTTCATTATAAGGTTACAAAGGTTTTTCAATTTTGAAATTCTTTGTTACACTAGTAAAGTTAACAAGTTTTTGTTTTGTCATATATTTGAAATGTTTGTCCTATTAAACAGCTAAAGGTATTTTTATTAAAAACATCTTACCCCATTAATAAAGTTAAAAGATTGTAGCTTCAATTTTTTTCTCCCATTTTGAAAATAGAACATCTGTAGTTTTTAAATAATTTGTCCCATTAGTAAAGTTAAAAGTCTTTAGTTTGAAATGTTTATTCTATTCTTTTGTATTAAAAGGTACTTTTGAGTATTTAATTACATTAGAAAGAATAAGTTTTCCACACTTGTAAAGTTAAAGGTCTTTAGTTTTATTTTTTAAGTTAAAATTAGTTTTTGAAGTGTTTTTATACATTAGTAAGGTTATAATAATCTTAGTTTGAAATGTTTTGTCATATAAATAATCTTAAAAGTGTTTGGTTTTAGAAATACTATGTTTTAATAGGAAGGTTATAAAGGTCATTAGTTTTGAAATACTTTATCTCATTAGTAATGTTAATAAACTTTAGGTCTTTATATTTGAAATTGCGGATACTATAAATAAGCAAGGTCAATTAAAGGTCTTTATATTTGAAATTGTGAATACTATAAATAAGCGAGGTTAATTAAAGGTCTTTATATTTGAAATTGCAGATACTATAAATAAGCAAGGTTAATTAAAGGTCTTTATATTTGAAATTGTGGATACTATCAATAAGCAAGGTTAATTAAAGGTCTTTATATTTGAAATTGCGGATACTATAAATAAGCAAGGTTAATTAAAGGTCTTTATATTTCAAATTGTGGATACTATCAATAAGCAAGGTTAATTAAAGTTCTTTATATTTGAAATTGCAGATACTATAAATAAGCAAGGTTAATTAAAGGTCTTTATATTTCAAATTGTGGATACTATCAATAAGCAAGGTTAATTAAATGTCTTTAATTGAAGAAATTCCTTATTAGTATGCGTTTTTAGTTTTTTACGTGTTTAATAACATTAAAAGTCTATTTTTTGAAATATTATGGCCCATTAGTTGATCTTGCTTGTTGAATTTCATGCAGGTACCTTAGGGTTATCTATGCTGACCCATAAGTAAGGTTTTAGTTTTGAAATTTTATGTCCCAGTAGTAGATTTAAAGGTCTGTAGTTTTGGAATGTTTTATTTTGTTGGTAAGATTAAAGGTCTTTGTTGTTGAAATATTTTGGTTCATTAGTAAGGTCAAAGTTTTTCATGATGTTATATTTATTTAGTAATTTTGAAAAGCATTACTAAGGTTAAAGGTTTCTAGTTTTGAAATATTTTGTCCCAATAATAAGGTAAACATTTTTTAATGTCATGAAGGAATTTTATTAGAAATTTGTATAATAAAATCTTAAAGTAATGGAGTTGATATCCAGATATATAAAATTAACTCCTTACATTTTTATTAATAATGTTACTTCTCTGTTCGTTTGTTAATTTTCCGTAGAAATTCTTTCTGAGAAACTTCAGCAATACAAGTCCTTTCTTAAGTAAAACTAGTTTATTATTTCTCGTTACAAACTTTGTAATACACTTAATCTCCACAGTCACTTTAACTTAAACACACGCTATAATTCACACACTTTATTTACGGTCACAACCGCTCATTTGACTCAATTATCTGTCTCTATCTCTCTATCTGCAATTCTCTCTATCCTATGCAATTATTTGCCGGGCTTATATACTAAAATAGAGGGCATCTGGCAAACACTAGAGTTGCGGGGAAAAGTCAAGATCCTTCGAGAATCTCATGACGTGTTACCAGTATCACGTGACTTTCACTGTCGTAACAATAACAACAAGACTTTTCTTTGTGTTAATTAACTCTTTACATTTCTATTAATAACAACAAGACTTTTCTTTATGTTAATTAACTCCTACATTTTTATTAATAACAACAAGACTTTTCTTTGTGTTAATTAACTTCTTACATTTTATTATTAACAACAAGACTTGTCTTTGTGTTAATTAACTCCTTACATTTTTATTACTAACAACAAGACTTTGTGTTAATTAACTCATTACATTTTTATTAATAACAACAAGACTTCTTTGTGTTAATTAACTCCTTACATTTTTATTACTAACAACAAGACTTTTCTTTGTATTAATTAACTCCTTACATTTCTATTAATAACAACAAGACTTTTCTTTGTGTTAATTAACTCCTTACATTTTTATTAATAACAACAAGACTTTTCTTTGTGTTAATTAACTTCTTACATTTTATTATTAACAACAAGACTTGTCCTTTGTGTTAATTAACTCCTTACATTTTTATTAATAACAACAAGACTTGTCTTTGTGTTTAAAAACTTTATTATGTACAAAACTTTTTGGTTTTGAAACCAATTATTATATTTCACAAGAATTCATAATAATGACAGAATTAATAAGGGGGATACAAAACTGTTTTGAATAATCAGAAAGTTTTTATTCAATTTAGCTAAAGAAGACCTTTTAGAATTAACAGTTGATTGTCTGCATTACCTGAAGAGAGCTTGTTCATGGAAGTTCAAGGTAAAATCATTTTACTTATAACCTTATTAACAATGATTCATAAGAATACTATCGTAATAGGGTAACCAGATTAGAAAGTGTTTATTTATTTATTTCGTACAAAATACATATTGAAGCTTGTGCATGTAAGCATAATTTTTTAATGATTTTTTGTTAGGTGTATGTAAATTTGCTCATTGAATACTGGAAAGTCCTTCTTACCAACATAAGAGGTGTTGCAAAATATATCACACTTTTTCCCCTGAAGTAATGATGAACTTGGTATAACTGCGAATATCATCACTCATGAGAAAACATCATTTCAATGTACTCTTTGGTGTTTGACTCTTCAAATTTAATTTTTTGCAAAAACTTTTGAATCATGGTGCTCAGTAGAATTCAGGTTTGTGTCGTATGTGCTGCCTTCAGGATGGCTCAGAAACTAGTTGCAGACATGCTCCAAAGATTCAAGTCGGTGCTTTTGTTCAACAATGCACAGAAGAAATGTTGGAAACTTTGCCTGAATG